AAGTCTGTTCTACACTATTAATTTAATTTTAAATAAATAAATACTAATGTAAAAGAATTAAAGACCCTAAATTTGAACCCTCCTGGAAGGAACAGTTTTACGAGGAAAACTCCAATAGAATCGGCTAAATGAAGAAAGAACAAAAATGGTTTCCTATTTTCAGACATTTCAGATTTGAATCATCAACCACAGCAAATGTTGCAGATTTTAGCTCAAATAACGGCTCAAATTCTCTCCCACAAAAAAAAAAAAAAATTACCCACATTGTTCAACACAAACTTCTAGTCTTGGATCTTAATTTGGATAGAGAATTATGAAGCAAAGAGAAAATAGAATGAAAATGTAAAAAATAAAATAAATTAATTTATACTTCATTCATTCACATTTCACCATCATTTCCTTCTCACTCCACACATTACTACCCAAATCAAATCAAATCAAATCAAATCAAAGATCCCCACACAGTCTTAAATTTAAACACTCAAAAACAACACATACACATAAAAAATTCACACAAAAAATGAAGAGAAAAGTAAATTAGCATACCAAAAGTGTAGGCAGTTAGTACATGAAACGATCTGGAAGTGGAAGATTACAGTTCTTGAAAATGATGGTATCTTCATTGATGCACTCCCAATCACACAGATCGTTCCTTGCAGTCTCCTTCTCATTCAAAGGCCTCAACCTCACCAACACAAATATCTTCTCCTCACAGCCTCCGCCAGTCATTCCCATCCCTCCACCACCACCGCACTCCGACTCTGTTCTCACCAAAAACCCATCTCCAAACAAAATGCAAATGCAATCATAATAAGAAGGACTAAAAAAGATCAAAGAATGGAAGATTTTACCCAAAAAGCTACACACATTCACTCGCTCATCTTCGAATTGAGACCATAATAATAATAATTGATGAGGACAATGTCTCACATCGCCTGGAAGGGACTCCTACTTCCACCTTATAAGCACACTGGCCCTCTCCACCTATTACGAGGCCTTTTTCCCCAGAGGAAAAACAAAGCCGTGAGGGCTGACCCCTAGAGGGCTGCCCAAAGCGAACAATATCGTGGCAGGACGCAAGAGGACAGACATCGCGACGGTCTTCTCCCCAAGGAGGAACAAAACCATAAAGGGGGGTGGGACGACAAGATCTGTCCCTCAACCCCAAATTCGCAACGTTTGTCCTCTCATGCCCTGCCACAATATTATCCACTTTGGGCAGCCCTCTGGGGATCGGCCCTCACGGCTTTGTTTTTCCTCAGGAGAAAAGGCCTCGTCATAGGTGGAGGGGGCCAGTGAGCTTATGAGGTGGAAGTGGGAGTCCCTCCCAGGCGATGTGGGACATTGTCCTCATCATAACCCCCTAGCGTACTGGACTACAATAGCGGGAGAGTTTGCAGGACGGCCCTCCTTCTAGTGCCAAATTCGCGACGTTTGTCCTCTCGCATCGTGCCACGATATTGTTTGCTTGGGTAGCCCTCTGGGGGTCGGCCCTCACGACTTTGTTTTTCCTCTGGGGAAAAGGCCTCGTAAAAGGTAGAGGGAGCCAGTGTGCTTATAAGGTGGAAGTGCGAGTCCCTTCCAGGCGATGTGGAACATTATTCTCAAAAGGGTTCTAAGAAAACCTAGAGCTTGGACTCAATCTTGATCAATTACCTCTCCCTCAGAGGGGTAGCTTTTGAGTTTCCATATAAAGCACTCACCCATAGCTTTCAAAAGAGAATGAGAATTCACTTAGATAACTCTTCATAATTCTTAGTTCTTGAGAGAGTGAAAGTGGGAGATTATATGGGAGCTTTGCCATTATTCTCTCTCTAATCTCTTTGTCTTCTTCTTCACCCAACCTCTTATCCTCCGTTATCTTCTTCTATTGAGTTCTTATATGGCTCGACTTTACCCTTAAAATTGAGTAATGGTATCTTCAATTGTCCTTATTTGAAATAAAATTCAAAATTCATGGTCAAATATATTACAATTGAAAATTTAAAGAACCAAAGTGACACGAGTCTCAAACTATAGAGACTGTTAGTATAATTTGTCCTTTTTAATCAATAATTGAAATTTATTTCTGAAATACCTCACAATACATAAAATCTACATGGTAGATATGAAATTTGAAACAAATTTTGATTGCTTAGAGTGTGTTTGGTAACGTTTACGTTTTCAGTTTATATTTACAAAAATTTTATAAACTGATTTTTGTTTACTTTTTGTTTATTTTTAGAAAAACATAAACTACAAACGCGTTTGGTAATTGACAAAATGTTTAAAAAATTTTAAAAATATAAAAAAGATTGAGAAATGGCAAGTGGTGGCAAGTGGCGACGGAAGACGGTGGTAGAAAGTGGTGACGGTGGGTGGTGGGTGAGTGGGTGACGGAGGCGGGTGGTGGGTGGTAGCAAGTGAGTGGGGGTGGTAGTGGTGGCGGGTGGTGAGTGGTGGTGGCAGGTGAGTGGCGGATGGCGGGTGGTGGTGGGTTGAAAGTGGTGGGTGTGGTGGGTAGGTGGCGGGTGGTGTGGTGGGTGGGTCCAGTGGCCGACAGTGGCGAGTGTGGGTGGTAGCGAGTGGGTGGTGGTGGTGGTGGTGTGGTGGCAGATGGATTGGCGGATGACAGGTAGTGTGGTGGTAGCGGTGGTGATGGTGGTGGTGGGTTACAATGGCGGGTGGCGGGTGGTGGGTGGTAGGTGAGTGTGGTAGTGGTGGTGGCGGTGGTGGGGGTTGTGGGTGGTGGTGGCTGGTGGGTGACGGGTAGGTGACGAGTGGTGGTGGTGGTGAGTGGGTGAGTGGGTGACAGTGCGAGTGGGTGATGTAGGAGTGGGTAGTAGTGGTGGTGGTAGTAGGGTTGGTGGTGGTGGTGGGTGGTGTGGCAGTTGGTAGCGGGTGGTGGTGTGATTGGTGGTGGTGGTGGTGGCGGGTGGGTGAGGTGGCTGTGGTGGGTGGTGGCAGGTGGTGGATGATGAGAGCAGGTGGTGGTGAGTGGTGGTGGCAAGTAGGTGGCGGGTGGTGGTGGCGGGGGTAGATGGTAGTGGCGGGGGATGGCAAGGTGGGTGTGGGGGTGTGGTTGGTGGCGGCGGCGAGGGTGAGTGGTGGTGGCTGGTGGGTAATGGTGGCGAGTGGCAGGTGGTGGTGGGGGGTGGGTGGTCGGTGGTGGTGGTGGAAGACGGTGGTAGAAAATGGTGACGGGTGGTGGCTAGTGTTGGGTGGTAAAAAAAAAAAAAACTGAAAACTCAAAACGGAAACACATTTTTTGTGTTTTCATTTTTGGCCAAATTTATAAATTGAGACCACTGATTTATAAATCAAAAATTTTACTAAACAAGTTTTTATTTGAGTTTTTTAAAATTTTGTAAATATAAACAGAAAACTGAAAACGTAAGTGTTACCAAACGGCATCTTAAAATTTATTTCCCTCTCCAATTAATACAAAAATTATCTTTGTGAAAACATTCCACCCAAAAAAACCCTAATAAAGCCCACAAAGAAGAAGAAGAAGAAGATGCAATGTGATTACTATCTTTTCTATCTCATTTACTATTGTCACAGTTGGTATGCTCTCTCTCTCTCTATATATATATATATATATGCACATAATTTCATAATCTTCTCATAACAGTATTTTCTTTTACAGAAAAAAATTATAATAATTGATTTAGTTTTCTCAGTAAAATAGGTCTGAACCTATGAATAATGTTCGGTTACTTGTTTCCAAACAAATAATAAATGTTCAATTACCGGTTCCCGAACAAATAAATAATGTTCGGGTCTGTGTTCCCGAATTTCGATCATTTGTTCGGGAGTTTAGTCTCGAAAAAATGATGAACATATTTTATTATTTTTGTCATTTTTTTTAAGAAACATACCATTACAAGGCCAATCTCTTCTGAACTAAGAATAATATCAAAATTATGAACCTCCTCTAAATTTATTGTTGTACTTCTCTCGTTTTATGGAGTTGTGGTTTCCAGACAAACTTCCACTCATTGTCATTGCCAAAGAAATGTAAATAATCAAATGGTTACCACCGTTATTATCGAAATATTGCCGTCAAAAGGTTTTGAGGGTGGAAAGATTTTGAAGGTGTGATTTGGGAAAGATGGATGGGTGGTGATGGAGGTGTGTGCTCTCATAAACTCTAATTCATGATATAGTGGGTGTATAGGTTTAATTGTGAGATGGGGTGCCTCAAAATTAATGATGTACCTTGTAACAATTTTATTTGAGGTTATTATCGTAGTAAGAAAAAGTTAAAAATTGAGGGGTTCAAAATAATTTATAAAAAGTTAATAGCAGCATTCAAATTTAAAGGTTTTACAATTTATAAGTAAGAGTCTAAAAAAAATAGTAAGTCCAAAATAATTGATAGAATACTAATAGCAGCACTCCATTTTAAGGATATTACTAAAAAAAAAAAAAAAAAAAAAGAGTATACTTTCACCCTAACGTTTCATTCACATTTCATTTTCGTCTTCATTTTCAACTTTTATTAAAATTTAAATAGCAATGTAAAAATAAATGACTAAAGTAAAATTTTGATAAAAGTTAGATAATGAAAAATGTAATTTACTTTCATCTTAATGAAATGCATATTATAATTTTTGTTTTGTTTTTCACTTAACTTTATCATTTTTTACTTTTCATTGTGTTTTTTTCCCTTTAATTAATTTAACATACATAAATAAATCAATCAATCTAAAAAAAAATAAAAAAATAAAAATAACATTGGTGTAGTAATCAAAATGAAGAATAAAACAAGAAGCTTAAATTAAAGTTTGGCCTACATGAAATTATCTCATGGTCATATCGATTACTTATTTTCTGTACTTTTATTTTCTTGAATAATACAACTAAATATTTGCACTAATAACTAACAATTACAGAAATCATTTTATTCAATTTTATAAATAAAGCTATATATCATCGAAATAGTTCACCAAAACTTTTTACCTCCTATGTGAATTATCTAAATTTTTATATGATACGGCAAAACTATATTTACTAAATATTACGGATCTTATATATATATGACTTTCATTGAATTAAACCTAATTTATGCACATGTACTGTTTAACTCACAGTAAGCTTTCCAAGAGGAAAACCTTTCACAATTATTTTTCCTTCATCCCAAACAGCCCCAAGTCTAACTAAAACAGATATATCAAATTACATATTCTATACCAACCTCCCAAAATTTTTTGACTAATTAATTTAAAAAATATATATAGAATCAGTTATGAATAGGAGGCTTCTTTCTTGCAGGAGTGTAGTCCATTGTCATCAAGTCTTGGTCGTCCCGTAACCCCTTTTCTTTTGTCTTAAATTTAACATCCTCACCCTTTTCAGCTTCATAAGTAGTTTCTGTATAAAATCTTCTTGCTGCATTAACAATCATAAAATTAAAATGAAAAAAATAAAAAAAAAAACCCAGAAAGAAAAATGAAAAAAAGAAGAAGGTATAGCTTCTATGAATCTCCATTTGGGATTTGTATATATGAGATCTTTTGGAGATGATAATTGAAGAGAGAGATACATAAGAAATAAGCTTTATACCTGTAGCTGTGATGGAGGATATAAAGCAAAGCAAGAAAAAAGCCACCAGAACAAGGCGCTTGCATGGCAACACACCCATCTTAATTAATTTTGGTTTAGAATTTGAGTCTCTCTCTCCCTCTCTCTCTCTAGATTGATTGATCTTTCTCTCTCTATCTTTCTCTGCTTGTGTGTGTGTGTAGCTTCTCTACAAGGACTTGAGCATTCTTTTCTTATATAGACAGACAGTAGGGTAGAAGATGTTAATCATGTCGTAACCCTAACCCTAATAAGTAGTAATGCCATGGCCCTCATGGGGGGGTCATACACAGTCCACATCAATGTTTTTGGAGTCTTGCATCAGAAATTCTTGCATGATGTGCTAACTGTATATTATGGTAAAAGACCACAAATCAAAATACCCTGTTATTACAGTTCTTTGTTGAAGATGAAAGTGATCTGAAAGTAGAGGAAAGAGGAAAAAAAATATGAGTTTGTTTAGTATAAAATTGGTGAAAGTTAGAAGAAAATTATTTTTATTAGCATTGTAACTAACTTTTTAATTTCTTGTAAAAAATACAAGAAAATATGAATGTGTCCATACAAGTAGTTGAAAAAAACAAAAAAATTAAAAATTAATGAAAACTTGTCACGAAAAAAAAAAAGAAAGAGTAATGAAAGTTTGAAAAGAAAAAGAGAGAATGAGGATCATTTATTTATTTATTTATGATCAGCGGAGAAGGAAACTCATTTAATTTTGATAGCAATTCAAGTCTTGTAGAACGTGAAGACTGGACATTTAAATCAAAATATGTAGGACTAAGATATTTTTACTCAAGTTCTATATGTATTTTTGTATGATTTTATCAACTAGGGAAAAAAATACAGATTTATAAGAAAATAAAAACGTAACAGTCATAACAATTATAAAGACGCTGTAATTTTACGGCCTTTACATAATAGTGGCGGTTGTTACAATTTTGAATTTTTATCACACCGCTATAACGGCCATAATGGATGGCAATAATCACCATTGCCATTACGTAATGTAGCGGTTGCAACCGGTTTTAAAATCATATGTGCGGATGTTGGATCACGATCATGAGTTTGCCTGGAATATGGATGTAAGTTAGAAGTGCTTATTTAACGGTTGAACCAGAACTATTTTGTTGTAACGGTTGAACCCTTTAATTTGTTGCAAGTCTGAGTGGCATTTTCTATTGTAATGCATGTTGATTTATTTTGCATTGTTTGTTATATATTCATACCACATAGATGATGAATATAGAATGTACCTAATAAAGAGAAACTCATGTTTTGAATGACATCCATATGTTCATCTTTATAGAGAGTGGTTTATGTGTTTTTTCTCCTGTCTATTCCACAGGTATCTTGGATTACTCTTGTGAGTTCTCTTCTTTTTTTTTTCTTTTTTTTTTTCCATAGGTATCTTGGATTATTCTCGTGAGTTTGGATTCTAAAAATCCAAGTGTAACAAAAAATCATAAGACCCACATATTCCCTCCACTTTGAATCCCACATTTAATAATGCAGACAAATATGTGACCTTAGATGTTGGCATGAGTTTTGATGATTTTGTGATATATACATGTATATAAAGTAGATAGTAATATTCAAAAAAGGAACCTATTATCACTTCCTATGTTTTGGCAGAAAATATTTTTAAATATTTTTTCTTATGTTTAGTTGTATTTGTAAAACTAATGTACTAAGTTATGGCCCATTATGGGAATATGGATTAAAAGTTAAAAACCAATTTTTAACTCATTTTAGGTTATATCACCTCTCATACAAAACGGTAAAAAAAGTTTAAAAAATTAACTTTTAACCATCTTCCTAAAACATCTTTATATTAATGGTGGTGGGGGTGGAGTGGAGATGGTAATGGTGATGGTGATGGTGATGGTGATGGTGATGGTGGTGGGTCATTTAATGGGTCAATACTGCATTGGTAGTTAAGCATGGGTGGTGGTGCCCGTCCAAACTGCCACCCTATACCACCACGCCACGACCTCGACCTCCACATTTGTCCCATCATCGCTAGCACCATCAAATATAAAAAAATGTTTTACTCTGAAAAAAAAAAAATAGTAAATACATTTTTCGTACAAACAAAAGCGTAAAAGAAAAATACTATACAAATACTTACTAACTGAGGAGTCTAGTAAAATTTTGAAATTTAAAATAAAACTTATTTTAATGATTTGATAGATACCACATTAATAAGTAAAAGAAAATTATAAAATTTATCAAATTCATATAAAGTTAATCTAGTTAGTCTTGTCAAAAAAAATTGTGTTGCAATTATTAGATAAACGAATTCATGTGAGTCGAGTAGGGAAATTTGCGTGCTCTAGGCCACAGGTTCTTGGATGCTGCTTTTTGATCAAGTTGGCCTATAACCAAGTTTGGGGAGTTAAGTAATGGAACCCACTATTTGGCTATAAATAAAATAATTAAAATAAAAACATTTTTTTATCATTATATATTTTTTTATTATAATTTCATTTATCATTTTATGTATTAATATTTTATTCGGTTAATAGATCTCACATTCACATTTAAATGCCAACTCCAAATACATATTTTGAATAATAATGATTCATTTTTTAAAAAAAAATATTAGGGTAAATATTAAAATGAAATAATTATCTTATAGTGTCTCTAAAAATGAGAGCTTTCACAATAGGAATATTTTAAAATTTTCTTAATAAATATTGGGCGACTTAGTAGTTGCGTTGATCAATCGTGCAAGAAACAACCAACTAAAACGGGGAAGGGAAGTGAAAAGGACAGTAGATAGGAATATATATATATATATATATATTTGGGATAATTACAAAAAAAAAAAAAAATTCTTAAGATTTGATTTTTGTAATAAAATAAATTTTGATTTTTTGATTTTATTAATTTAAATTATAATCTTTTGATTTATCTTTAATTTAAATCATTTTCTTAGTATTTTAATCGTTAAACTCAATGTAACTATATATAAAATGTCTAAAATATTTTTATTGAGTATAATGACGAAAATACTCATTTTTTTATCGATTTTACTTTACGAAAATAAATGAATCAGATTGGAAATAGATTAAATGTTTAAAGTTTAAATTAACAAAATTAAAAAATTATAATTTATTTTGTTCCAAAAGTCAAACTCTGACATTTTTTTATATTTAATTTCCCTTATATATTTTTGGGATAAGGGAGATTGACATTGATCGAAATTGCTTTCTTCTACGAATTGAAAGCATGTGTGGCCTCACTCACTTCATGCACCCTTCATCAACTTGGTGTTCACTTTTGCCTTCTTTACAACACTGCAATACCTAAACATGTTGTATCTTCCTAATTAGACTTTCTGATAGAGACATATATATGATATATCTACCCACATTTATAATTAAAAAAAACTGTTCAACACTCATAAATTATTATTATGTTAGTTGTTCTTGTATTTTGCATTATTTTGATTTCTATTATTTCAATCAACTGGATTTTGACCCTTCATTTTAAATTTTGTATTAATTTAATCTAATTAATAACATTTAATATGATTTTTGAAAAAAAATAGTCACTGAATTGGTTGAGATTAACTCACTAAGTTGGACAAGTTTATAATTTTGCTTATAAAAACATGACGCATGCTGTGCACATTTTTTTATTATAAAAAAACACTAAAAATTGTAATAAATTGAACCAAATTGATGCAAACTCAAAAATTCAAGGTCAAAATAGAGTCAATTGAAATTATAGGAACTAAAATGATATAATGATCGAAGTATAGGGACTATCAGCATAATTTACTTTATTTTATTTTATTTTATTTTTAAAAAAAGTTCTAAAATGCCGTGATGGCAATGCTGTATTCATTTTTGTTAAACACTATTTTAAAAATATTTATTTTAAATAATACCGTTAAAAAGAAAGGCACTCAGGCCATAAAAGTAATTTTGAAATTTCTAGGACAATAGTCTCAAGCTCTAATCTTGTGGAGAGTCAATTGAAATTAAATAGACCAAAATGATATAATGATTAAAGTATAAAGACTATCAGTATAATTTACCTTATTTTATTTTATTTTAAAAAAAGTTCTAAAATGTTGTGATGGCAATGTTGTATTCATTTTTGTCAAACACTATTTTAAAAATATTTATTTTAAATAATACTTTTAAAAAGAAAGGCATAAAGCTAATTTTGAAATTTCTACCATAATAGTCTCAAGCTCTAAGCTTTTGACATCATAAGAACAATAACAAATTGAAAGATCATATTATCTTTGCCTATTCGTCTATGTGTCCGTTATTCTACATATATGTTTATGTCAGCTCTCTATCTATCTATTTGTATACCTAATATACTTATCTGTCTATATCACCACTCACGTGTCACGAATCTATCCACTTAGAGTTATTTTGAGAATTGTTATTTTAGTTGATTTGTTTTTAGTTTTTACAAAAAGCCATGCAAAAAAGTAAACAGAATAGTTGATTTTTTTGCACTGCCTTTTTGACTAAAAAAAGCATGTTGTCAAAACAACATTTAATCTATTTATATATCTATATCACCACCACTATTACCACCCGCAGTTGTTGGTGTAATAACCAAAAATAAACAATTAATGGAATCAAAAATAAATAATGGATAAGAATTATAGTTATGAGAAGACACGAGAATTTATGTGTTTTTGACAAACTCTCCATATATTCATAGATATTACTCCTTGTCCATTATATCCAATGGGTATATACATTATTCAAATTACAAAAATGATAGTGGCTACATCACATCTTTAAATATATGGATACACATTACTAGAATTGATGTGCGGTAATCTCACTCTTTTTAAGAAGATTGAAACCTTTTCGATTGGCAAAGCCACCTCATCCAGTGCAAGAAAATATCACATATTGTCTTGTCTTCCCTTTTACTGAAAAGAAAACAATATATATATATATATTTTTTTTTTGATTGGCAAAGAAAAATATAGATGTAATCGATTGGATCTATAGCATATCAATTCAATTTCCACTACACAAAAAAATCTAGGTGAACAAGTCTGGGTGCATAGCATTAGTCTATTAAATATGAAAAATGATATACAAATCCACTTTCTAGACCCACTTTTTAGACCAAATAATGTGTAAGTGAGATGATTGGTGGATAATTAGAGAAGATATGAGAGAGAAATAACACATGA